AAGAAGAAGAAGAAGAAGACGAAGAAGCAGCTAATGATCTTCTTCAATATTCATGACAACGGCTAAGTTGCGGCACTTAAGGTGATCAGGTGAGATGCTGACGGGAAATTTGAAAAATGCTGAGTTCAACTTGAAGTTAGTTAGCGAGTTGAAGGTATCGTCTGGAAGCATAATGTCGGCTGTGCAATTTTAAAACCACCGAGTTTTAATGCCAAGTGAATTTTGCTTATCTTACATTTTATCGGGTGAGTCGGTGGTATAGCGGTTAGGACGTTCGCCGACCATGCACATGGTCCGGGGTTCGATCCCCAACCACCGACGCACACCTTTACCTCTCTAGGCCAGAAATAATTCTGGTAAAGAGGCATGAGGCTAGCAACCCCATCCTGTAAAATAAACTCTGCTACAGAAACTTCAAGCTACTAGCTCGAAGCCATACTGTGTTCCACTGGGGAACGTGAAGGAAAAATTACTAATTATTATTACTTATTACATTTTATCGGACACTCATTGTTGTCTGTTTTTCAACTGGTTACAAATTTTAAATATCAGGTTGAATACTAAGCAATATACTCTTTTGTTATATAAAGATCGATTTAACAATAAAACAAAGGTGTAAAAATGGAAATTGTAGTTGGCTATAATTTTTACCAACTGAAAAAAGTAGCATGCATACAACGGTGGACTGTCAGTAGTCACCTTCTTTTTTTGTTGCATACTGAATGAAAAACACACGGCGCCAATATCATATGCCGTTAAAAGTGAACTTGGTTTGCATATATATAATAATAATAATAATTCTAGAATCAAATTTTGGATGTCTGAGTGATTCGAGGTTACATTTCATTGAACAGAAAGAAAGATCAAGTTATAAAGTTACCGTAAATCATGAAGCGATGGTGAGTTAGTCCATCTAGATTGTAGAACTACTTCCTGTTCGAGATTACGTATCCACATGACTCGACTAGAGTCAAAGCTAGCGTCTTCAAGGGAACATTTCACAATTCAGCACTGGGTTCGAGCCTCAGTGGGAACATTATCACTCACTGAAAAATGCAGGTACATCAAACTGACGAGTCTCAAATAGGACGAAATTCGCATCCTTCTATTCCACTGCCAGTCATCATCCACCAATTAAATACATGAATTATATCTTGTATGAACTTTCTTCATCTAGTGCCATCGGTCAGTGTATATAGGCATCACACCCGATTTGGTGTGAGGCCAACCATGTTGATAACTTCTCTCTTATCAAAACTCCAGGAAATTCAAGTCACGTATTCAGTCATTCATTGAGATGAGCAGTGAACTGATTGTTGGAGTGAAAAAAGGCAACCGGATTTCAAAAGTGTTCCTAAACGGTGTTAATTTTAGTCTTATAACCAAAATCTTTTTTGGTTCATAGTTTGATATTGCATGTGGGTGTGTATTGCTGAAGCGTTGAAAACTGGGATATGACACAGCTGTCCAGTGCTTCATAACCTTTTAATTGTATTGCCCTGAACTGATATCTTCACGTGTACAGAAGTATATCACCGTCGTCATTTGGTGTTACTAGTCTAATGTATCTCAGTTGTTCAATATTTGTCTTTTTTCAATAACAACAGGTGTAAGAACTAATAAAAAGAACATTTTTTTCTCATAAAGTGAAGTGATTCAATATCCATCTTTCTAGTATTACAAACAAGCACTAAGATGTACAATGTAGCGTGCGTTTACCTAGTTCACTGGATAACACTCAAAGATCACGCTAGTAGTAGATCCTGGTTCGATTCCTCCATCCCCCCGACCCAACACACACTCACACACACAAATACACACACTCAGAGAAATGCACTCCTAGACCTTGCTATTATTATTAATTTTATTCCTTTAAGTTCCCGCAAAAAAATAAAAAGTCTCTATGTGGACATGGAATATCCGTACCATGAACGAGATTGGCAAATCTTCCCAGATCGTAAACGAGATGTAAAGATACGGAATTCAAGTACTTGGAATACGTGAAAGCAGATGGAACAAGAATGGACTCACTAAATTGTCAACGGGTGAGTCAGTGATCTACTCTGGTCACCCAGAAGATAACCACATGCACACCAAAGGCGTGGCTATCATGATGTCACCAACGGCGGTGAAGGCGCTGATGCAATGGGAGGCGATGTCGCCCAGGATAATTACCGCCAGATTCAACTCCAAAGGAAATAAAGTGTCACTTATACAATGCTGTGCACCCAAAAAACAACGCAGGACTCAAAAAGAAAGAAGAATTCTACAGACATTTACAGGAAACAATGGACAGTACTCCAGCTGGTGACATTAAAATACTAATGGGAAACATGAACGCCAAACTAGGACAAGACAAAACAGGAAGGGAACTCATCATGGGTAGAGAAGCTCTTGGAGAAATGAATGAAAATGGAGAACTCTTCGCCGACTTCTGCGCCTTCAATAAACTATTGATTTGTGGCAGCGTATACAAGCACAAAGATATCCACAAGGCTACATGGGTGTCACCAGATGGGCAAACCAAAAACCTAATTGACTTCATGTCAATCTCAAGGAAGTGAAGGCGCAGCCTACTGGACACAAAAATAAGAAGAAGAGCAGACGTTGGCTCATATCACTATCTCATACAACAGACAATCGAAATCAAATTAAAAGCTTTCAGGGAAACAGGAGCTGCAGACAGACCACAAGCCAAGTTCAACACTCAAAAACTGAAGAACCCGGCTACAGAGGACATCTTCATTTCAAGCATAAGGGACAAAGCCGAGACACAAATCAACATTAGCGAAGAGGTCGGTGTCGAAAAGCACTGGGACAACTTGAAAATAGTGTGGAGTCAAACCTGCATGGAAGTTCTAGGCAGAAAGAAGAGACAGGACAAACAGTGGCTCACGGCGGACACTAGGAAACTAATAGAGGAGAGAAGAATAGTGAAACAAAAGATTATCCGGTGCATCGACGAGCAACAAATACAGGAGTTGAATTCAAGCTACAATACGCTGAGCAAAAGAGTAAAGAAGAGTGCCAGGGAAGACAAAAGAAAATATTATGAAGCCATGTGAAGTGAAGCAGAACAAGCTGAAGGCAAAGGAGACCTCGCCGCACTCTACCAAACAACTAGGCACCTATCGGGCAAACGTTTGACATAGATTAAGCCAGTCAAGGATGACAATGGAAAGTCATTCACTAAAGAGGTGGAGCGAAGGAAACACTTGGCTTAACACTTCAAAAGACTTCTAAATTGACCGTCACCTACAACGCGACCAATAATACCAACAACAGAGGTAGAACTACAAGTGAACATCGACCCTTCGACGAAATCAGAAGTCCTGAACGCAATCAAGATACTTAAAGCTGAAAAACCAGCAGGACCAGATGGAATCCCAGCAGAAGCATTTAAAATGGACCCAGAGACAACAGCGGACTTGATGATGCAATTACTGGAGAAGGTGTGGAAAGAGGGCAAAGTGTCCGAGGATTGGAAGTTAGGATACTTATTCAAACTACCAAAGAAAGGAGACTTAAGTCAATGCAAAAACTTTCGCGGCATTATGCTCATGTCCATTCCAAGCAAAATACTAAGCCGCATCATCCTGGAGAGAATCAAGCAAGCCCTGGATATAAAAAAATTCGACCGGAACAAGCAGGATTCAGGAGAAACAAGTCATGTATTGATCAAATCGCCATACGAAGGATATCATTGAACAGAGATTGGAATGGCAGTCACCTCACTACCTCACTCAACGTCATCGACTTTGAAAAAGGCCTTCGACAGCGCAGCGTCGATCAAGAGGTGATTTGGCAACTACTTCGCTACTACGGGTGCCGCTGACAATTATACATCTCATCCAACAGTTGTGCAACAATACTACATGCCAAATAATCCACAACGGGAAACTCACGGAATCCTTCGAAGTAAAAACGGGAGTAAGACAAGGCTGCCTACTATCGCTAATGACTTTCCTGATTGTAGGCGGTAGATTGGATAATGCGACAGATGGCGGACAAGTTGGACCAACACGAAAACTTGGAGGATCTGGACTTCGCCGATGATATATGTCTGATTTCCAACGAATTGAAAGATATGCAAGTGAAAAGCAACAAGTTGGGGATAGAAGAAGCATCCAGAGAAAATGGGACTTCAGGTGGACATAGAGAAAACAGAGGTGATGAAGATTCTTGGCCAACAGCAAGAGCGACAGCAACAGACAACAATCACCATAAATCGGAGAAATTTAAAAGAAGCTACCACATTTACCTGCCGACCTGGGAATCATTGTTTCAACAACAGGCGGACGAAACTGACGAGGATATCAAAGTGCGACGATCGAAAAAGCAAGACGAGCCTTCATTACTCTCAAGTCTGTGTGGAGGTCAATAGCACTCAGTATGAAAAATAAGATCAGTACTTTCAAATCCGATATGAACTCAGTTGCTACTCGCTATATGGATCGGAAATTTGACGCGTCATAAAGAGCACCTCAAACTCCAAACTACAGACATTCATTAACAGCTGTCTCTGCTCAATACTCAAGACCAGTTGCTCAGAAAAGATCAGCAATAAGGACCTTTGGGAGCGAACCCTTCAGGAACCGACTGTGCAACAAATAAGCAGGAAGAAATGGAAGTGGAGTGGCCATAATCTGAGGATACCATCAAGTGACATCACACGCCAGACCGTCGCTTGAGTGGAACCTGAAGGAGAAGCGGCGAGTTAGTCATCCAAGTGTGACTTAGAGGAGGTCAAGTGAAGAGGAGACGAAAGAATGTGGGCAGACTTGGAGCCAGGTGAAAACTTTAGCAGAGAACCGAACACAATGGAGACGTCTGGCTGAAGCCCTATGTTTCTCTAGGAATTAAAGAAAATAATAATAATAATAAAGGGAAACAGTTCCCCAGTTCAGTATTATTTTTTGTGTGACATCAATTAGCATTAAAAATCCACATTTTAAATGGAATTTACATCAATAAAATACGCTACGTAATATTTGACTTGCCTAATAAACGATCCGTGATATACGTCAATCGAAATCGATGTCTACCAACACTTGCCAACTCCGCAGACAGACTACACACCAACGATGTTCGACTTTGATCATCATCATGAAGTCTATGCTGCCATTGTTGACGTGATCTGTCTTCTTTGTCCGCCTGTCGATCGTCTAAAAAAGACGCCGGGGCAGATGACTGTACATTAGCTGGAACTGTTGGTATCAGACTAGGACTGATACGTTGTTGTAGTGAATCAATGTGAAAAGTGTCGGCTTTAAAGGATTTATCAGTAGCATTTTTCGATGGGAATGGTGCAATCCAAGCTGATGGTATAGCGTGTTCATCGAACTGTTTGTTCCGACTAAGCTTTAAAGAAAATGTAAAGGTAACCACATTGAATCAATGCTGCGTACGAAAAGTGCGCTTCAAATCAATACCAACGTTTAAAACCAGTAGTATGACTTAGAATTTGAATCATTCATAAGAAAACGAAAAGAATAAGATAACTTAATTCTCATTGTATTATTATTTTTGTATTCTTTAGTTCCTAGAGGAATTATACTCTACCACAGAGTTCAAGTCCTATTCTTGTATCAACAGAGTAATTTAACCGCATTCTATGCATGCAATTATTTAGGTTTTCTAACCCTAACAATAACCCTAATCTTTTCTAAACCTTACCTTAAAGTGAAAATATCCCTAAACTAACTGTAATCTAACTCGAACCAACCCTAATGTCACCTTTATTATGTTAACCTAACCCTAACTTGTCCTTGGCTTAAAGTGCAACTTAATCTCTCCAAAACCTAAGCTGAAACTTCCCAGATATCCCATTTAATAGCACAACATTTCGATGAGCAGATATTATTGATGACGACAACGTTACTTGCCAGGTTTCACTAACTTGCTCAGTGAGCGTTTCAATGTGACTGGTGTGGACACACTCCATTGGTGGTTATTATTATTATTGTATCCTTTAGTTCCTAGAGGAACATAGGGCTTCAGCTGCGCACCTCCATTGCCTTCGGTTTTCTGACAACTTTTTCACCCTGCTCCAGGTCTGTCCACATGCTTTCATCTCCTCCCCGCATGAACTCCTCCAAATCACCCTTGGACGACCAACTCGCCGCCTCCCTTTCGGGTTCCACTCGAGGGCTTGTCTAGTGATGTCACTTGATGGTTTCCTCAGCGTATGGCCAATCCATCTCCATTTCTTTCTGCCTATTTGTTTCACAATCGGTTCCTGATTGGTTCGCTCACTGCCAGAGATCCGTGTTGCTGATCTTTTCTGGCCATCTGATCTTGAGTATTGAGCGAAGACAGCTGTTAATGAAGGTCTGAAGTTTGTTTGAGATGCTCTTTATGACGCGCTGGCCAAGTCTCTGATCCGTATGTATAGTGGCACTGACTTTACATTGGAGTTGAAAATCCGGATCTTATTTTTGATGGTGAGTGCTGTTGACCTCCAGACAGATTTGAGAGTAATGAAAGCTTGTCTTGCTTTTCCGATTCTGGCCTTGATATCCTCGTCAGTTCCGCCTGTAGTTGAGACGATGCTTCCGTAGTAGGTAGGTGAAGGAGGCTGTTTCTTTCAGGTTCTTCCCACTTATGCTGATTGTTGTCTGTTGTTGTTGGCTAGGAATCTTCATCACCTCTGTTTTATCTGTGTTCACTTGAAGTCCTATCTTTGATGCTTCTTCTGCCAACTTGTTGCTTTTCACTTGCATATCTTCCAGTTTGTGGGAAATCAGACATATATCATCGGCGAAATCCAGATCCTCCAAGTCTTTTGTGTGAGTACATTTTATGCCTGTTCCCTCGTTGGTTGCCGTTGTCTGTCGCATTATCCAATCAATTGCAATCAGGAAGATCATTGGTGATAGTAGACAGTAGAACACAATATTCAGAGAAAAGACGAATATATTATCAATGTGATTGAAAAGTTTCATCGTGTACTGACATCATTTAGAGAATCCTTATAAACCACCAATACTTCAAAACTGATCTGATGCATCCTAGTGACTGGCCCTATTCAGGCAGGTAATCTGAGGTCCTATTGGCAAACCGAAGAAGTGGTCACACTATCTCGTGAATTGGACTGATCACTGGATTGGTTTCCAGAGGCTTAATGATCTACAAGCCAACCCGCCAGCCTTGTAACTAGAATGTCTTGGATCCAAACCCTGTGGGTGAGCAGGTGACTACCACTGAAGAATTCCAAAAAACTACGCTGGCGAAACAGCTGGCTGTCCAGTACTCCCAGGTGGCTTTCCAATGATTCTGTAACTGGTGGCAGTCAGCACATGATGAAATCTTCCAAGCAATCCAACGAAATCCCTACGAAACCAACTACAGTCAAGATTTGAGGGAATAGTTCTAAAATAATTAGGCGCTGAGTGAGAAGTAGACATTTGTAAAACATTATATTTGTAAAATCTCAGCTAGATTGAAATGAGTAATTCCAACGTTTCCTGTGTTCGGCAAACTGGTCAGAACGTCTTCAGGAAAATTAATCGAAATTAACATAACAGAGGTTTATATATAAAAGTAACATCTCCTGTGTGCGTCGGTGGCACATTGGTTAGGACTCTCGCCGACCATGCACATGGTCCGGGGTTCGAGCCCGCACCGACGCACATCTGATATCTATGGTCGGCCTGCAAAATTTCGGCTACCGATATCCATGCTGAAAATTCCATACTTGTACCGAAAATACAGTGTGGAATCAAGCTGTAAATAAAAATTAAAAAAAATAAAAATAAATTCTTTTTCCAGTCATATGAATCATGAAACAGGTATCAACAAGTATGATGAACAAAATTGTCTGACCTGTAATCAAAATTTGACCTCGGACTTACAAATAGTGGTCTACCTTTGTTAAACACTTTAAACACAGTGTGTATGTGTGTGTGTGTGGGTAAACAGTTGTAAAACATTTCTTAACGTTTCCATAAGTAGATATAGACAAACGGGAACTTTGACCAAGTATTATTAATTAACTAGTGATACATATCCATTTTTATTTATTAATCATGATTTCCTATGCATCAGCTAATATCACACCTTTATGCTAACTGCAAGTGCCAAGGGATGATACTGGTCTCCTTGTTGTCACTAGTGACGTTACCAGCCAGTTCAAGCCTTTTGGCGGCCAAGTACTTGAGGACGGCTACCAAGTAGACGCGGTCTTCAGCACCGAAGTGTTCAGCGTAGTTACCATAGTGCGAAAAAACGATGCACATGACCAACTGGGAACTCAAGATCAGCACAAACAGATCTAATTTTAGCCTTAGTGCGAGACGTTCTACCCTTTGCCGCTGATATGTATATATATATATTGTGTGTGTGTATGGTGGTCTCTCTTTCTGTTTGCTCTCTTAGTCTGTGACCATTTCACTTTGATGAACCTGTCTCCTTTAACAATGTATGTTCCATTTATATTATATATAATATGAGTGTTTGTTGACAGTCCGTTGCTTGGTTACATATATCCATATTATATGTGTGGTTGTTGACATGCCTGCTATATTTTGCTATGTATATATGGATCGACACTCCATTATAATTAGCCATTCATGTTAAGACTGTCTATTGATTTGTTCACACACTTGTCTGGATATTCATATATATTTCGCTCACACAATCGTGTGTGACACTTTGGTGTGATACCACTTATTGTTTCTCCTTGTGTTTGGAAAATAGAAGTATCATCGCAAACCTAGTGGTCTTCTGATTTCCGTCTTTCTTGCGTCAGGACTATTAAATTCTCGACCAGAACATAGCAATAATTTAGCGACGAGTACATAACAGCCGCGACCACTCATGATTGTACGTGAGAGCAGAGGAACGTTCAAGAAATGCAAAGCAGTAAGTTGAAGGTCAATTTCAGGGACATATTTGGCCGCTACACTTTGTGATTCAAAGACATAAGCGAGCGATATTTAGAAAAATTTAACGCGTTACGTTGATTTGGTAAACTGAGGCAATCCAGTGATTTAGGTAGACCATTAATCGCTTTGATTAGAGAGACATTATCCTCCTACAGCATAGAAACTTGAGAATGTTATTATTTCCTATGTTTTTGATTGGATAAATAGGCCTCCAACCGCATTTACACATTTCATCTTGTCCCAATGGAACAACGGAAGACAGGGCCATGCAACAGATCGTTTATTTACGAAATCAACACATATATATAGATTCTCATGTTCATTATTGTAGATTATTATAAACAAATAAACACAGCCTTCTGATTGGTTGTTTCTCCCTGAAAGTTAATCTTCAATCTCTTTGTGGCTGTTTGTTGAATGTCAGATCATCTTATATGCTAACTGTATCCGCCTACATAAAGTCTGCTGTGATTGGTTGGTGAATAAGTCTTTGTTCTTATTTTTCTCACAACTAATATTGACAACATAAACATTGACGTAAATTTACTGTCCAACGATTTGGCTAGCAGTCAGCTCTCACCACAACCTGAACCACTCTCTAGCTGACTCCTAGATTGCATATAAGCTCTCACATCTCCTGCTCACACGTTCCTCTCCATGTCACAAATTGGTTCCTAGCTCATATCGTTATTTCTCACATGTGATCATACTGAATGGATTTGTCAGCGTATGTTCAACCCATCTCCATCTCATTCAGCATATGTTGTTGGGCGACGGGTGTCTTGATTGGTCAATTTCTACACTTATCTCTTGCTTATCATTTATGGCGGGTAATTTGATCTTCAGTATTCAGCCAGAAAAGGCAACTGCTGACGAAATTCTGCAGTAGTCTGTTGTGAGTGTTTCTGCTAACACGCAAGCACCAACTCTCAGTCATATTGAGCAACAGAATTCACTTGAGAGTTTAAAATTTGTTTATCCTGACTGTAATGAATTCCTGTCTTGTTTTCCTGAAGTTAAAAGACAAATTCAGCGAAGAAAATTTTCTTTATAGACGAAATCATCTTCAGAGGTTGCACAATCGTATTTATACTTACAAAAATATACAATGGTCAATTACTGGGTAATAAAGGGTAACATAATTGATATAATTACTCAGAAAAGGGGATTTAGAGGTGAAAATTTAAAGTTTTAAATTACATGGTACTCAACGGCACAAAGGTAACAATTTGATAAGGTTAAAATTGCTATTGACTGAGAATAAAGGTGGTAGTTGAGTGTCAATTTAACAAGTGTGAAGAGGCTGTGAAAATATGCAAAAGGAGCATATGAGATTGATAATAGTGAATTCATTATTAAATCAAAAGCAAACTAAAAGTAAAATTAAAAATTGAAAAAGAAAAGAAAACATCAAAAGTATTTACATTGAACGACTGGTGAAGAGGTTAAGACCAAAGTAGAATAAGAGACTGGACA